TACATCCACAGAGAAGAAGGAGGAGGGGCGAGGGGATTGGAGGTTCCAAGGGGGTGGTGGGGGATGGGGTAAGGGGACAACATAGGAAATGTAAATAAATCATCCAATAAAAAAAAAAAAAAATAAATAAAATAAAATAAAATAAAATAAAATAAAAAAAAAAAAGAAACGTGGATTCTCATGTCATTTTCAGGACTAAATTAACATAAGTAGCATTAGACCAAAATCCACATTTCCCCTGTTTCATCCATTAAAGGGGCCTTTTCCCTCAGATATACATACATTGAACAGTTAGATATAACAGTTATGTAAACTATGAGGTATGATATATACTAATAACGTCTAGCCTATCAATTTAGCTGTATTATTCTAACATCTATCTTAACTTAAAGAGTTTATAATTCTATACAGCAAAATGAAAGAAATTAACTTATTCACAAATAGAACAATCACAGGTTAAGCATGTTAGCTGAACACTTTTATTTTTTTGGCACAGGGGCTCATATATGCCAGGCTAGACTTGGACTTGTGTTGTTTGGGATGTCCTCAAGTTTCTGATTCTGCTTCCACCTCATGTGTGCTACAATTAGAAATGAGCACTAGTTTACCTGGTGTATGGAGTGCTGGAAGCTAAACTTCAGTCTTCCTTCATGCTGAGCAAGTTATTAACCAACTGAGCTCTCTATATCTGTAGGTCCACTGAATCCATTTTTAAAGGGAGATGGGGGAATGTGAAGGTACTCACAAATCAGAATGATTGAGAGGAAGTATAATGGCAAATATGTCTGAAAATGGCCTCATACAACCCATTCACTAGTATGGTATAATGAATGAATAAAATGAAACAAATAATTTTATTTTTATGATTATTAAGTTGGTGACAAAAAAGACAATAACCAAAATTGCTACAACCCTCCAGACACTTCAATGATTTTTGCATAAACTATTAGTACATATTAGTACATATACCTATGTGACAGTTTAAATTAACACAATTTTATTGATTACGAAGTTGAAAGTGAGAAAGTTTAAGTGTTTCCCCTTACATAACAGATTTAAACTTTGGTACTTTCCCTCATGTTACAAAATACAAGAGTATATATCTTTTTAAATAGCTGCTTTCTGGTTGCTAAATTCTTCCCTCAGAACTCAGAGTACTTTCCAGCTACTAGCCACTATAAGAGCTTAAAAAACTACCTCACGGGAAAAAAGTATAGTTGTATATATTTGATTTCAACTCTCATTGGAGAAATGTGAAATGATTAATTTTACACTTGTAAATTACTTTGTAATGTCTACTTGTGACTTTGGAGATGATAGTTTATATTTAATTTTTTTATAACTTACTAGAGAGTACATGCTGTTCTAATTGTCCATGTGATAACACAGGGATACTGAGAGATGGCAGGGTTTTCTGAAAATGGGATTATGGGGTTGGGTACAGACAATATTGCCTGTCTTGCTGACTTTACAAATCTTTTCTTACTAGAAGAGGTGTCCCTTCTAGTAGAGATGGTAGATTATGTTTCCTTGTGACCTATTATTTGGTCTTTTCCTATCTTAACATTTAGGAATTTCTGTTGTTGTTATGTTTTGGTTTTTGATTGTTTTTGCTTTTGAGAGTAATCAACTTACTGGATGTTATGTGAGTTTCACTTTTCCTTTATTTTGTTTTTAGATTTTTTAAAAAATATTTTTTTGGGGGGTGGTGTTTTAACTGCATGTGTGTCTATACAGCATGTGTATTCCTGGTACCTATGGATGTCAGAAGAGGATATCAGAGTTTCAGGTGGCTGCTAGCTGGCATGTGGATACCAGGAATTGAACCTAGATCCTCTGGAAAAACAAGTACTTTTAAATATTGAGTGTCCTGTGCATTCTTATATAACTTTTCCTGGAATATAAGCAAACATCTACTTATTTCAGATATGGTGCTAATAACAGACCAAAGTAACTATGGCCCCAAATCTAGATTAGTTAACCTTTTAAAGACTACCTCACATGAGTGACAACTGACAAAAATATTCCTAAAGCTCCTTATATCACTTGAGGTTAGAGTCACTCCTTCCCAGAAGTCTTCAAAATTATATAGCTCTGAGAAAAGGTTTTATAGATCTATTAAGTTTCAGGAACTTCCTGATACTTAGGTATTTGTTTACTCTCTGAGCCTTGTAAGATTCATTTACTTTCTGAGTCTTAACAATTTTTTCTCCAGGATAGAATGTTTTATATCAGAAGAAATTGTTTGATGACCTTGGAACTTGTTTATTTATGCTCAGTATCCTCTCCAAATCAGCATGGGGTTACTTCTAATTACACGAACATGCATAGAGTGATTAGCTTTTCTCATAGAAACATAATTATAGCTCTCCAAAATAATGCAGGAGGAAATGCTGTAATTCCATGATAAAGAGAGAGCAATCTACATGACCCTTGCTTTGTATGTCAACAATGGCTTATTAAGGCAAAACATGTTTCTGGTTACATATTCAGTAGTTGAGGTCAATTACAGTTGGGATTCACTGAAGGATTAAGCAGCAAAGATGTCTTCTACAGTAATTAGTCTTCTCTTTATAGAGCTCGAGTGGCCTTTCTGCCATTTACCAGGGACCATTCATGCATTTAGAATTTAACCAGGATCATAAGAAAGAATGACATAGAGCAACTCGGCCAAGTATTTCTGCAACCAGGGGCTCCCTGTGAATTTTGATTTTTCTTTTTTCCCCAAATAAAGTGATTTTTAACGATAAATGAAGTCTTGTGTTATCAGGGCCTATACCAAGTTTATCTTGTTTCAATATGGGACATATCTGTGGCTCACACTTCACATAGAGGAAGAGTGAATTATCTAGAGCTGAAGAAGTCTGGAGTCCTTGGAACTTGATAGTTAACTATAGCCCATCAGATAAATTCATTGAGATTTAGGGTTCTTTGAATTTGAAATCACGGGTTCATATACTCAGTCATAAAATGTTTTAATCCTTATAAAACCCAAAAAAATATCAAAGGAATATTTCTAGATAGAACTGCTCCATGAATTTGCCCTACTGTGTTATGAGATGAGTAACTATTGCAGTTAATATTTGATAAATGGTGCCACCTGATCTGGCTTGTTCTCAAGTAGCCGCCATGTTTCCCACTAGACAAGGCCTGAGGCCAAGAGTGGCAGGATGCTCCCACTGCTGCTCAACTCAGACTCATGGCTCAGGCCAACCAGAAGCTCCAGTACTGGCACCCATGAGACATAAGCAAGATATGTCAATCCACCACGCTGTCTACAATGCTCAACTGAACCCCAGACAAGACCCAGCATAACCCCAGCTCCCGGTAGAATGAAGATTCTCATGCTTAAAGATTATCTAATGGCTTTATATATTTAGAAATGCTCAGTTAACAATTTGCCCACACAATTAGCGTTGCTTCCCAATATCTAACCTTAAGATATAAATTGCTACCCAGGACTGTGTAGGTCCCTGTTCTGGAGGGTTTCCCATGAAGATCTCTGGGGGTCCAGGCCAAGGGGATAGAGTGCGAGCAGGGAGGGGGAATTGCACTGCTGCCTCTTCCTGTGTCTCCACTATTGCCACCCAGTTGCTCCCAGGTGCTGCACCTGTCTCTCTGCGCTGAGTTGGTCCAGGCTAGGCCAGTGAGAAGCCAGCTAGCTAGCAAGGAGGGGAGGGTCCTGAAGGTGCTCCCGGAGAGCAGATCTCTTCCCAAGTGTTAAAGTTCTTGCGACAGAAACTCTTGGACAATGAGATGATTCTCTCACAACTTTACTTCTCCCAAATAGGGCTCTTTTATACTGTTTTGGGGTGGGTCAGGGTCTGGCAGCAGATAATGTCTATTGGCTTGGTCTGAGAGCTTGGAGATACCTCATCTACATGTGGGAGAGCCTGAGGCACTGTTCCTTGTGACTGATGGCCAAAGAGCTCTCTGTGGGAGGGGCTGTGGAAGGCTGAAGTTAAATGAAAGGAACCAGGGCCCAGGAGCAGAGCTGAACACCTGCCGTCTGATTAGGGTTCGGGGTTCGAAGCCTGTGCTCGACCAGGCGCCCAGCTGCCTCTCACAGCCTACCACCTCACAGGACTGTTCTGAACCTATGCGTGGTTCTTTATGCCTGCTATATCCCTCCTCCTCCTAGCTCCTCCTCTTCCTCTCCTCGATCCTCCCACATTAGCTCCTCCCAAATTACTGAGCTTTATTGTAAAATGTAGAAGGGGGTGGATATCCTGATATTTGCAAACATGCTTCTCTGACCACTATTCCACATTCACTTTCCTATGGATATTTATTTTTCAACTGTATTTTGTGTATGAATGGAATAATTAAGCCACCAGTGTGTATTTGGTGAATAATGACTGTAATATCTAATTGCTAGCATATTAAATCTGTGGAGAAGTATTCAACCTTCAAAGGAAGAAGAGACTTACAGTTGAGAGTGGGAGGAGAAGGGAATAGAATTGAGTGAATTTCAGCTATTACTCTGTCTCTAGTTAGAGTTAAGACTTAGATTCATTGCTTTGTTCTTCTGTGTCAAACCTTCATAAAAAGTTAATGAAAAGGAAGAAATGCACCAAATGCCACAAAGTATTCTGTAAACCTGTAATCTAATCTACTATAGTGACCATTATTATATAAGGAGAGAGATCTAAATAATGTCCTTGGTAACATCTCACATTACTATGTCAAGGTCATTTGAGGGTCTTTAACACTTCCATTCCCTTAGAACTTGCTACAAAGTGTTGGACACATGCTTATTCCTTTGGCTTATAAAGGTGGGGCCTCTGTGAGTCCATTTGAAGGGTATCTCCTATACTTCTTGAAATAAAACATTATGGGCTAACAGTAAGCAGCCTTTAAATGACTGTGATTACCTCCTGTTTATATTTTGCAGAGTGGAGAACAACAATCTGAGTTTCTACCTTAACCACTTCTATTCTAAATGCAACAAAGCTCCAGGGCCAATGACACATTCACAGTGATGATTCTTGTTCTTGCAGAACTGAGCTATGCCTGGATCTTCAATGAATACCCTTCCTATCAGGATAACCGTCGCTTCGTTTCTCAAGAGACTGGGAATCTGTATATTGCCAAAGTGGAAAAATCTGATGTTGGTAATTATACCTGTGTAGTTACCAATACTGTGACCAACCACAAGGTCCTGGGACCACCCACACCACTAATCCTGAGAAATGATGGTGAGTTGTCTACACAATGTTGTTAGTTCTGTTTATGGGGATTATGGCAGGGTGTGGAAAGATACTATAGTTTTGTCATATAGTGCTATAAAAAAGTTTAATAATTTCTATATTTGGTATCTATTATTTTTTCCCACTTGAGTAAGAAATATGCCCACAAACTCATTTTGGAAAACTAATTAGAGGTCTGATTGCTAATCTCAACAGGGATGGTATGTGGACTTAGGCAAATATCAATAACAAAAGGATCATTTTGTGTGTGTTTGTATGCACACAGAAAATGAAGTGAAGAGTTGAACAGTTAACTCACTTATCAGCTCTGTATAATTTACTATTCATGGTCCAGAAAGTGTTTTTAAATTATCCTAATAATATCTAGATTTGTATGTATGAAGCCATAGTTCTACCACAGAGAAATTCAGAAATGTGGATAGCTCATTTGAAACAAAAGTTTTAATTCCCTATCCCATTATGAAAATATTTTAAGAAAATATATGACTCTTATATAATATCCAGATATCAAAGGCTATGGTCACCAAGTGATTTTTAAAGACATTCTTGTTAGCCAAGGTGTATGGATACCATGATCCTTTCTACTGTGAGCTTTTATATATTTCTAAAATTCTCTCTTAGTCCAAAAGTCTGCCTCAGGAGGTGATGTGGACTGTGTCTTTCTGTTTCTTTAGAAATACAACATTTTTTTCCAGGAATCCATCTCTTCACATTTGCTTTTTCCACCCATGTGGCAGCAGACAACCCTCTCATTAAACTCCAGAGAAATCATTACTATACACCCCCTTCCACCACCACACATACACACTCAGACATGAATTCCTTATCGTGATGATTTACCAGTGTGTGTCACTAAACCTAACTGAACTATCTTGCTTATTGCTGTCTAGTGTAGAAGGTAGCAGATAGAAGTGTCTCATTAAATATTCATAAGAAAAATGAAAACAAAGTATAATTAAGCCCTCTAGGAAGAACCAATGTGAAGATTTGAAGATTCACCGTTGACAGGTTTAGGTTTCTATACTAAAAAGAAAAGAAAACAAAATTAAACAAATAAAAAACAAAACCAAAAAACTTCTCATATGCCTTTTAACAGGAATGGCAAGATTTTATCATACAAGTAAAGAAATGATCAGTCAAGATACTAATAACATCAGTGACTGGTCATTTACTATGTGCTAGTTTGCTCATTTACCGCATTTAAAACTTGAGTAAGTTTCCAGTATAGCATTCCACCTACTGACTCAAGAGTCTTGCTTCTTCTCATCATCTTACACAAGCTCTTACAAAATGTCATATAAGAAGAAATTGTCTTCTAGTTTCTGAATGTATTACTCTGTCCATCTATTTTCTTACAATGCCAGGGATTGAACTCAGGTCCCTAAACATGCTAGGCAAGTGCTCTGCCACTGAAATATACACCCACCCTACTCAGCCTCTCTAGTTTACCAGAGAACTTTGTGTCCAAGTAGGTTTAAACATGAGGTTTTTAGATCAGGTTATTAACAATCAAATTAACTATTTAGTGATTGTCTAAACATCCTTATAATACAGAACACACTGAAAATTGTTAATGAATAGTTTAGTTTTCAGTCACTTTGTCATTCATTTAACATGTATTTATTTAGCACTTGCTATGTGACAGCCATGATTCTGTGTTCTAGTAAGCAGAAAAATAGGCCCCTATTTAATATTTCCTATGTTCTTCTGGGCAGTATGGCCACAAGAAGCATTATGTGTGTGCAAGTTTCAGTTTATTTTTAGAATAATACATAAAACAATTCATAAAAATAATAATACATAAAAATATTGGGATAAAATAGAAGTTTTATGGGCTAGATATCTACTGAAGAAAGGGTTGCTACGAAAATCCTCGCTGAAGATGGCATAGGGCTGTCATTGGTACGATAAGAAGCCAGTCCTGAGATGATTAGAAAGAAGAATAGTCCAGGCTGAGCTGTCATCACATTCAAAGGTCCTAAGGTAAAGAGGGAATACCAAGAAAAATTTACATCTTCTGGGATTAAGAACATGAGTGTGCATCAAGCTTACGCATCAGGGCCCAGATGGTTTAAGAAGTTTAAGGATCATGAGCCAATCATGCAGACCAGAGAAAAAAGACTGAATTTTATTTCTCAGAAGTGTTTCTCAATCTCCCGAATGCTGTGACACTTTAATATAGTTGGGTAGTGATGCCCAACTATAAAATTGTTTCATTGCTGCTTCATAACTGTAATTTTTCTACAATTATGAATGGATGATATCTGATATGTGACCCTTGTAAGAGGTCACAATCCTCAAACTGAGAGCAACTGTCCTAGAGCAATCAGAAGCACTTTGGCATTTGTAGCTGAATTTTTTAGGAAGACCAATTGGCTGCTTTCTAGAACAAAAGAAAATTCCAGAAAGTTGGTATAGAAAACGTGTATCTACCAGAAAACTGTTGTGAAAATTCACCTATGGATGGTGGTAACCTGGACTAAGGAGAATAGCGAGAAGGACAGAAACGTATGTGAGGTATAGCTTGCAGATAAATGTATCAGAATTTAACAATGCACTGTATATGAGAGACGACAAATGAAAAAGTCAAGAATGAGACATACCTGTCTGGCTTAGCAACTGAGACTATATGAGAAGCTACATGCTAAAATAATTAACCTGGCTTAGCAGGAAGATTTACAAAGTCGAGGATCCTATTTTTCATATTATTGACAAAGGCTGGCACAAGATTTTCCTATTGGAAGAAGAAAGAATTACCTGTTTTCTAGTGTTTTGGTCAATTTCTCTGTCATAGTATTCATCTGACATGTATTTGTTACTGACATTTCCATCCTTGCCCTACTCAAGGAAAGACTTTATAAATCTCATTAGACTGAGGGTGAACACTAGCATCTTGACGTTAACACAGCAAAGTTAAATTACTGTGCTGGATTCTTGTCACATTATTATGTTGCATTGTATCCACAAACTCAAAAAAAAACATTATTTTAAAAAGTAGGCAAGGTAGACTGGAGACGGAGCTACATGAGACAAAATTTTAAAAATGGCAAGATACCAGCTCTGTCAAAAGGCACAATGCTACCTTTCCAGAAACAAAAATAAAAATAGGATTTGCTTCAGTGACATTTTTTTAAAAGATTTGTTTATTTATGTATATAAGTACACCATAGCTGTCTTCAGACATACCTGAAGAGGGCATCGGATCTCATTACAGATGGTTGTGAGCCACCATATGGTTGCCAGGAATTGAACACAGGACCTCTGGAAGAACAGCCAGTGCTCTTAACCACTGAGCCATTTCTCCAGCCCCCTTCAGTGGCATTTTATGCAAGATAATTTAAAACACAACCCTTTGGGGGCATCTCTTAACAAAATGTATGTATGCCAAAATATCTTATCAAGGGGATTACCTGCTTTGGTGTGTCAAGTCATGGACATAATGTAATATTGACTTGGATACAGAAGGATACAGATGAAGACAAACATGATAGAAACCTGCTGCTTTAGGAAGTGAGAAGCAAAATTAGGAACACAGAATACATCATGTATACATCAAGCTGCCAGAAACTTTGACTTTTCTTGATTTTTAGATTTATTTCTAAAATTTTTGTCAAGTCCATCTCCATAGAAATGACCAATGCTTTGTATTAGAATATTTTATCACATAATTAACAGACTAAACACCTCATTCTTCAACAATTAATGCCCATTCCCTCTTAATTTGCATGAGAGTTACATGATAAAAATTTATAATATCTTTCTCATTTAGACTGGAGTACATAAAATGGATATAATGTTCCATTACTAAGCACAAAACAGGTTATTTAATTAGCTCCTGTCTGAAGGTGAGAGAAGACGGGAGATATAAATCAAAAGGATATTGCAAAATTAAGATGACATCCGTAATAAAATCTATTCTGTGAGAGTAAAAAAATCTACGAAATTATCACTCTACAGGAACTTGAATTTAATGACAATCTTAGGCTGATATAAGCAAGGACTGTAGAATTAGTATAGTCATTTTGATCACTGTAGCACACTCAGAATTTCACACCCTCTTTTCTGACTTGGAAGTATAACAAGTAAGGCAGAGACAGCTCAAGTCTGAACTAAGGTAATTGCCACAATGGGTGCTTTGCGTTGCTGTGAGCAGACGTAACTTAATGACTAGATTTTCCTACTATTCAAGACATGGCTTTTGAGTGAGGCAATTCTAGACTCGCTGCTTCCAGTCCGAAAGGTCACCATCGAGTCATAAAATGTGAACCAGGAATCTTGGCTCAGGTGTTGACAGGATTCAGGTGCGGTGTCCCACATTCATCTCATTACGTTGACTTGTGCTCCTAGCTCATTATCCCACAGGTTTCTGCACTGGCTCTTCCTTTATCCGAGCACTTCACAGGGTGCATTTTTCTTGCTTACCTCATCCTTAGTCAATTTTTTGACCAGGAAAAAAGACAGGACGACAGAGGAGCAGACTCCCTGGGTAGAAGCAAGACTAACCTGTAACTGGCTATTTTTTTATTAGATATTTTCTTTATTTACATTTTAAATGTTATCCCCTTTCCTGGTCCTCCCCACAAAATCCTTCATCCCATACCCCTGTGAGAGTGTTCCCCCACCCGCCCACCTACCCACTCTTGTCTCCCTGCCTTGGCATTCCCCTACACTGGGGCATTGAGCCTTCATAGGATCAAGGGCCTCTTCTCCCATTGATACCAGACAAGGCCACCCTCTACTATACACATGGCTAGAACCTTGGGTCCCTCCATGTGTACTCCTTCATAGGTAGTTTAGTCCCTGGAAGCACTAGGGGGTCTGGTTGGTTAATATTGGTGTTCTTCTTATGGAGTTACAAACCCCTTCAGCTTCTTCAGTCCTTTCTCTAACTCCTCCATTGGGGATGAGAAGATTGCTCAATGGTTAAGAGAACTGACTGCACTTCCAGATGTCCCAGGTTCAATTCCCAGTAAATGGCTATTTCACAT